TACTGTTTATTAACTTATTAAGAAGTATTGCAATATTCACAAAAGTCAGACATGCGTTGGACGATATTCTCTTTCATCCTTATGTTAAAAATTTCTGGACACTACACATTTGAGGAAACTGCTTTGAAACCTCAAAGACACAGTTTTAGTGATGTGGTGGAGTTCTGCAGAATGTAGCCTTTCATTTGCCCATGAGATAAATTTCTGTAATTGAAATGCCACAACCCTTGGCAAATTGTCTGCAGCTTAAAAATAAATCAGTCTAAGTGACCTCTTAATGACTTTTCCATCCTGGGTATATCTGTCGCTCCTGATAAGTCAGACTTGCATAAATTAAAGATGACCTCTCACTTAAATGCTCTAACGGCAGCTTGTGATCTTTTCATGAAGTGATAGGATTAACTAATTTTTAAAATCTTCATGTGTTTCAATCTGTGGTGATGCACTTTTATGTTTTTATGTGAAACAATCTTTCATACCTAAACGAACATATTGTTTCTCCTATTAAAATAAAAATACAAAATATTTTACTCACCATTGTTCGGTTACGTTATGATGACATTTCATTTTTTTTTTACACCACAATAAAGAGTTATTCTAGTATATTAAGAAAATTGACACCTCTGGAACTTTCCCCATTTTATTCTTCACATATACAGTTGTTATGAATGTAAAAAGGATGTGTTGCTGTATTGCAAAGCTAGAGATTTGTTAAGCCACTCTATGCTGATCACTGTAAACCTATTGATAGTATTAGTTTACTGTTAATCCACAACTTCTATTTGTGGTTTTCTTTTTCTACAACGTGCTTGATTATTCTCCTGATCTAGTCGTTTTTGTGCTGCCAAAGGAAAAAAAAAAAATCTTATCAAAGCTATTGTATAAATATGTATGTATATATGCTTGTATGTAAAACAATCTCTGTAAAAGTAAAAGTTATTGCAGATGTCTTCACATTAAATGATTTGGTTTTGTTTTACACTAAATGCTCTTTCTGATGCAACCTGGACCAGAAACCTGTATAATTTCAGAGCTCCTCATTAGGGTGAGACCTCAAACTGTTTATAAATAGCCACATATGATATGTCATGTATGCGGTCATACAGTTGAAAGTCTTATTTTAGATTTGTTCCCACTGCAGCTCAGAGAGCTGAGAAATGTGAAACACTGTCAGTTATATCTGAGGTAGATACAAGTCTGACTGTCCTCTTGGCTATAGTAAGAGTTTGTTGTCTCTCTCTTTCTGTCGGTGTGTCTGACAAACTACATGGAGCTGCCAATCAAACACGGGTCAACATGATGGAACACATGCTGACATGAAATCTATAGTTTCTGATTTTAGTCCATTGCAGACTCGGACCATCATCTCCTCTTAAGTGTTAAAACTATCATTTCTATTAAATCCCTCATGGTTATTTATAACTCCTGTTTGACAAATTCTGTCAATTCAATTTAGTCTGCAGGAGAAAGTGGCTCAGAGGCCATGGCATGTCTTTGATGTGACCCGAGGTGTAATCCACTCATACAGAAATAATGTGATGCACTAATGATCATTTATCAAGATCAAAGCTGAAGCAAGCTTTTTTTTTTCTAAAATAGTTTATCTACTTTATTAGCTCGCTTATTTTGGGGATTTTTTTTTTTTTTTTAGCAAAAATTACAAACACAAATGGAAAAAAAAAATACTTAATGAAGCAAACATGAACCTAAATGCCATTTAATATGTTATTGATGTCCAAAGAGCTGACTTAAAAGTGGTTCAGAATGGACTGGAGGCAGATAGGGATGTGGGTGGATGCTGGGTGTAGCTTAACAACCGTGGAGCTCATCTCAAAGCTTTACTCACTGGACAGGAAAGACCAGACAGAATGGTAGATTGTAGGTTTTACGCTCAGTTCTCAAGATTACTCTGCTCTTTCTCATTACCTCTTCCCCTTTTACTGTATTTCTTCTCATGCTATCATTGCCTCGCTCTCATTTCCAACCTTTTGCTTTCATTGTTGCAGTAACACATGCTCTCAATTACAAAGCGTTTAGTTTCCTATCTTGCTGTGCTCCCTCTCTTCCACAAAGTGAAAAATGGGTGCTTCAGCACTCTTCTGCCTCTGCTGCAGACTGTCTGAATATGACCTCATCATATTTGACAAGAGGAGTAGGAGGTGGAAGAATTCAGTGAGAATTCATCTTCCCCCAGATCTGTCTCATGATTCTTTCTTTCTACCTTTTTTTTAATTTATTTTTTAAATCAAATGTGTTATTTTGTGTGTAAGAGATTGAATGCATTCAAATGTGTAACTGAAGCTAAAACAAGCCCATTGGGTATTAATAAATTCTCAGAGTAGAACAAATTTATATCATTTGACTGTTTTTAAACTCAGTGGAACATATTTTAGAGATTTGGTCTAGGAGATCTTGTAGTTCCTTACAATTTTAGAATAGTCTTGATAGAACATACTGGGAAAATTAATAATTGTCCTTTTCCACTTATGAACATGTTTTTATTGTTGTAGGGGAACACCACCTCAGACAAAGAACACCTTAGCTCAAACAAACAAAAAGAGTTCACCTCATCTCAAACAAACATCATTCCTGTGTTGTGTTTGAAACTGTTAAAAATAAGACTCATTTATTACCTTTGGAATGAACAGACATTGTTTTACAAATATTCAGCTCACAAACTCCTTAGTTGACTTAATGTAAAAAAAAGGGAAAATGTCACTGTGTTAACCTCATTGCCAATATGAACTCATTTCCCATGAAACGGACAGATCGTTTTGATGAGAGCTTTTGGTTCAACTGACCTCGGAGTTTTTGAAACATCCAAACTCGCTACGATGATATATTCCCTTATCGAAAAGGAGTATTCCTCCCAGACTCGTTCTCATAAAGATAACACCAACCCTTTTGTTTAATGACATTCCTTTTCAGGAGATGGACAGTGACACCTTTGGTAGAACATTGCATGTTATTAATCCTACATATGTCATACCTGAATGTTATTCATGAAAACGTGTGTTTTAAGTAATCTTTCTTTAAGATAAAACATTTGTCTAATTTTCTCTTTTAAAAGGAAAACTTTTAAGGCAGAGAAAAGGGACTCTAGATTTATTTAACAAAGCCGAAAGTTAGGACCACCCCTCCGGAGGTGGACCTTCATCTCTGTCCTACATGGACAGCTAAGTTTCACTTTTACACACTTCACTGGGACTTCGTAAAAGAAAATTTCTGCAGAAAATATTGCTCTGAAGAGACGCACCGAAGCAACATGCTTCTGCACAGAAAACTGGAGAGAGAAGAAACCCAGCTTTTACACTTGACCTCAGAAAGGAGAGAAGCATCCTTTCTGCAGACGTCTCAGGATGAGAGAAAGATACAGAACCTGACCGAACCAGAACTATGACTCTGCAGAGTGGTAAATCCCAGCTGACTGCCAAATGGACCTTTGGACCTCTAACAATGACAGATGAACTTTGAAGAGACTTCAACCTTTCAGTCATCGGAACATTCTGAGGCTGGTACCATTTTAAGCAGCTGTTGGAACCATGCTCTGACCATCTCATCCTGGTAGGAGACAGACTTTTCAATGCCTTTCTGGTGAACGTACATCACAACTTATCAGACAAACTTAGCTCATCTTAGACACAATTTTTAACTACTTCACAAACAGAAACCAGTCCTAAGTCTGCCTTTTAAGTTTCACTAATTTGAATAATCAATTAGACCTTTGATGCAAAGCTGCAGTTAACTTTTGTCATGCATAATTTTTATCATATATATCATAGATTATGTTTATAATAAATTTTTATCATTTATATCATAGATTATGTTTATAATAAAATGCATAAAAAACAACTGAATTTGTGATTATTTTGGCATAGCTGTGTGCATTAATTGATTTGATGCCCTTTAAACACGAGAAAAGAACTCGCGTTTCAGTCTACATTGATTTTGGGGTAAATAGAGACTGATTTTTCCTCTCCAAGAGAGAGGTGGTGCCCACACAACAAGGTTATTTGCGTAATACATGCATATCTTATGAGCTTAACTCATAACTGGTAATCAGCAATATATATCCAGCCCCATATTGCTCTACATTGTACAATTACGAAGTATGAATAGTTTAGAAATAACTTTTAACCCCTTTTGGACTGATGAGCAGCAATACTTGCTTCTCTGAAATCATTGCAGTGGTGGAGAAAGTACTAATACTGTACTTGAGTAAAAGTACAAATAATCAGACAAAAATGTACTCTAGTAAAAGTAGAAGTACCCCATTAATATTTTTACTTAAGTAAAAGTAAACATGTACTTGCTTTTAAAAAATACTGAATGTATTAAAAGTACTTGCTGAATGTATTACCTAATGCAATGATCTACAATATCATTTAAGTGTGCATACCTTTATGTATATTTTCTGCAATACATTAATAGTGTTGAGCCATTTTAATGAACAATGCTGCAGATAATACATGTTTTTATTGTGTTTACTCTGTGACACAGTTCACACTTGGACTTTTGATTCTGTGTGTCAGAATTTCAGGGATCACATGCAGAGTTAAATGCCATTAAGCAAAATAAGAAAGATAATTATACCTGTGAAAGATTTTACTTGACACAAAACAAAACCAATGTGTCATTTTAACTGAAGTAAACACATTTAAGTAAAAGTTTGCCTGAAAAATTAGCATTAGACATAACTAACAAAGAAAAAGACACTGATCATTTCAAGTCCAGTTTGTCATCAACTCTAGTTAAAATACTGTCTAGTCAACCTTGTAATGGGCCAATAGTGAACAATGTAATGTGTAACTCAATGCATTATAGAAATGTAGTGTAGTAGAAAATACAGATATTTAATGTAAAATGTAGTGGAGTAAAAGTCAAAGTACCCACGTTTAACTTAAGTAAAGTACAAATACACGAAAATGTACTTCAGTACAGTAACAAAATACTTACTTTGTTACATCCCACCACTGGATCATTGTTGATGTATTTCTTACTTGGCATTGTGTTAACACATATTTTCGCTCCAGAGGAGCAAACTGCCCTGAGACAACTTTGTTGTGATTTGGCGCTATATAAATAAACTGAATTGAATTGAACTGCCAAAAATGTTGCATTTATAGACAGTTACTGGTATTCATAATGATCAGTCAAGTGAATTTGATTAGCAGCACCTGGCTGCTACCTTTTTTTATTATTAGATCTTGTGGAAGCAGCAAGGGTAAACATAATTTTCTATACACAACGTTTCCATCCGTCCATCCATTATCTTTTACCCGCTTCCTCCATTTTGGGTTATGGGGGTCGCCGGTGCCCTTGTCTATCTATCACTGTGCGAGGGGCGGGGTACACCCTGGACAGGTCGCAAGTCCATCACAAGGCCACATAGAGACAAATGAGACAAACAACCATTCACTCTCAACTCACACCTAGGGACAATTTAGAGTTACCAATCAGCACAACATGCATGTTTTTGGTCTGTGGGAGGAAACCGGAGTACCCGGAGAAAACCCACGCATGCACGGAGAGAACATGCAAACTCCACCCAGAAAGGCCCCCGGACTGGGATTTAAACCAAGGACCTGCTCGCTGAGAGGCAGCAGCTCTACCAGTTGCGCCAACGTGCTGCCCAGAGATCTTAACGAGTGACTACATTTTATTTAAAATGTATTAAGAGTTTGCTCATCGCGACTTGTTTCAAACCATTGACCACATCTAGAAATGAGTTTCTCAAAATTTGTCTAACGTATGAGAACCCTGATCTTTCATGTCTCATAATCCTCAATACTAATTGTAGTTGTGCTACATAAGCATGTTACTACTGCCTCTTTACTGCAGATAGTCAAATAAAGAACGTGTATTAACTCTGTACATTCGCTGCACAGCCAGAACGAGTGTGTTGCATGTAAAGGATTCCCTCGTTTCCCTTTTTTCTCTCCATAGAATTTACTACAAAGGCAGCACAACTAATTAGCTGTCAGAGCAGGACAAAGATACAGAAACACTCTACAAAGTAATTATACACATTTGCACATGCCTTTACAGACATGCACTCACGGTTGACTAAAAGGGCTGTGTGTTCACGGTGACACTTGACAAGTCAATAAGCCAATGGTTTAGGCTTATCTCCTACCCTTCGCTTTCCACTCCACACTTTATTGATTGCTCCCATTATTATCCACTTTATCTAAAGCTGGAATTAGCTAACGCATGGCTGCCAACTCAAAAACACTGTCTCAATACATTTACATGCTTGTACTTCTAGAAAATGACAGGCACATGTATTGTGTGAGAAATGGAAAAGGAGCTTGGGGACAGCATTGAAAGCTGCATTTAAATGGTTTCTTCCCTTATTGTGTTGCAGGCAGGCAACACTTCATATGCATCATGTAATGTAGGTATAGAGGTGCAGAATAAAACAAAAAGAGGGGATAATAAAAGTTAGCACAAAGCAGTTTACTTTCTGAAGTATGTACGTGAATTTGATCTGTGTGCAAGACTGAAATGTGTGAGTGTGGATTCATAGTATTTAAAGTGGTAAATTTAGGATGCTCAAGATATTTCCTAATCCTAAAAGCCTAAGTGCCAATCAGATAGGTCAACATCTGAGTTGTACAAACAGAACAGAGACAAACAAGCTAACACTCAAAAGCCCTGCAAACACGAAAAACACTGAAACAGCCTAACATCAAATGTCATGTTTGCTTTTAATTTGTGGAGAATAGTTCCAGTTCTGTATATTTGCGTTTTTCACTCCCAGTTATCATAGTTGGAAGTGAAGTGTCTAGAGATGCAAAGAGCTTCCTTCATGAGAATGGGAGGGGCTGTATAATCACTTTTCTTTTTAAATATGTAGATAGTTAAATGTGGTTCAATAGATTATTTGAAATAAAATGCATACAATGTTGATGTGTTCATGCGTGCACATCTGCTCACAGACTCATGTTCATGTTTGTGGTGATGTTCAATGTTTTATGTTATGAGTGCTTAGTGTATATTTAGTTGATGTTTTTCTTAGTTCATATCTTAGATGTTATTACTGTTTTTCTTATACATTTTATTGTTGGATGTAACTGGGACCCTGTGTACATAATTTCGCTCCACCACATGTACCACATGAGGTGCGAATGACAATAAAGAAACTCTGACTCTCTGACTCTGATACTTTGTCAAGTCACTTGTGTCTGAGAGCTAATGTTTAACAGTTCCCCTGTTTGAATGGGGTTGTTCCAACCTTTTTATTGTTCAAGGTTCATAGAGACGTTGTCATTTGCATCACATGTGGCACATGAGGTGGAACAAAATTGTGTACTCAATGTCCACTTACACCCAAAAAAGTAATTTATTTAATGTATAAATAAAAATAAACAGTACATGTGCACTGATTTACTGAGTTACCTATGTTTGACCATTATGCTCAAGTATCAACCCTGTTGTGCTTGTCTGTCTCTTTCCTGTCCTTCCAAACCCCATCTGGTCGAGGCAGATGGTTGCTGACCCTGGAACTGGTTCTGCTGGAGTTTTTTTCTTGTTAAAAAGATGGTAAAGGTAGTTATCTTTTTCCAGCGTCACCAATGTGCTCATCAGGAAGTCTATGACTGTGAAGATTCAGCTCGATCTACTGGCTTCCTTCTTCAGATGACTTTAACTGAATGGCATTTTATAATGAATGATGCTTTTTGTTGTTTATTGGCTCTATATAAATTAACTGAAATGAAAACAAATTACAAAAAATTGATATTCTAACCATAGCTAGATGTTTTCCTAAATTTACCCAAAGCTAAAATGTAAAAAACATCATGTATTATATAATTTAAAAAAATGATTGAAATGTTTTTAGTTCTGCTTCATCTTGTTTTATTCTTCCAGTTTTTAGTTTTCTGGAACTTTGTTTCTGTGTCAACTTTTGTGATCATGTTATATTTCTTCTGATTTACTGCTCTGTTTTTTTTTCCTGAAAGTTCTTGTCTCCCATGTTTTTTTACCTGTATATATTTTTCAGTATTTTTGCTCATTCAGCTGTTCAATATTTGCCACTCCTGTCAAGTTGCGTATTTTTATTATTATTGTTTTTTTGTGCTTTTCTTTTTGCAGTTTTTGTTTACCCAGATCTTGAACTCCCAGCTCACATATTGCTTTTTTTTTTTTTTCAAAAAACAAAAACGACAACAAAATAATTTAAAGCGACAGTTGTGAAGGTTCAGGTGAGGCTGGACACAGGAATACAGACAAACACGAAGAATTTCAAGATTTTTTTGTTTTTCCAAGAAACAAAACAAAAAGACTGAGGTGGCAGCAATGACGACGAAACAACTCAAGGAAACACTGAACTGGAACAAACACTAGACTGCAGGTAAAGTGATCAAATAAAATGGGGCTGATGAGAAGATTAGAGACAAGTATGGTAACAGTGAACAGGTGATGGTGGGAGAGGCAGGACAGAGGACTGGAAACTAACTCAAGAAAGTTTGTGTTCTCTGTGCCACCTGTTATTTTCCCACTCAGGAACTGAACTATACACAAAGATCACAAAACACAGAAGGCTAACATGGAAATCAAAAAGGAAAAAAAAATACACTAACCAAAAACAGATTATGAAAAAAAAAGACCTAAAATCCAGATCCTGACATGATTGTTCAAAATATGCATTTCAAAGACATGTGCATGTTTTTTTACACATGCTGCTCCATGTTACACAACCTCTTTCTATAAACTCAGTAGCTTGGTCCTTAAGTTCTTAGTAAGTTTTATACATTTTATAAATTTATAAATGACTCATTTTTATCTGCTATCACTTTCACTGACTTGTTTAAGTAGTAACTGAGATGTTAAAATGTGTTGCCGTCTTGCCTGTTGTTCAATCATTCTGAAACTCGGCAAATAAGTCATGGTAGATGGAGCGAGGACAGAGGATGCAGAGGTCGGAGTGAGATGGAGGAGGATGACTCGCTGTGGAGACCCCTGAAGAGAGAACAGCCGAAAGAAAAAGATTATGTGTTATTGATACCAATATGCTTGCAGTCAGTGAGGACAAGAAGCAGTCTAAAAATAGAAAACACCATTAGATGAATATAATATAGGTTTGCAAGTTTATTTCAGTTTTCCAAAACTGTACAAAACAGTAAAAGCCAGCACAAAATAGAAAGGCGCACACACACAGTTTCCATAACGGAATACTGCAGTGTTGTCTCCAGTAAGTGTTTGAAACAGTCAACCAGAAATCTATTACCACTTTATTTTCCAAGTTTCTCTCATTCTACTCAGTCGTTTGTCCATTTTGTCTCCAGTTCACATTTGGACATTCCTTTGTTGCTTTTTGTTTTTACCACCCATCTATCTTTTTTTACTGCTTCCCACAAGTTCTGGTAGAAGTGGTCTCCTAGTAATTGAGGCTGGTTTTATTGGTAAGCGCATTCATTTCAAACAGATTTTACTAAAAGTGCAGTCGTTTCTATCAATGTACCTGAAGGAAAAGTTGATTTCAAAGGGAAATGACTTTCGTTCACAAACCATACATTCTGTGTTCATAGTTCACTGAAACATGAGCACAAATATTTTCAAAATTAGACAGACTTGATAAAATACTTGATTCAAATGAAGTATTTTGGATGAAAGACGAAACGTTTCTTCCAGGCAGAAACTGTCCAGATGACAGGATTGAACTTAAAAAAATAAAAAAATAAAAAATACTGGTATGATTGAGCGTACTTACTCTTTTTCATTATAAAGTCTAAAATTTCTAAATCTTCATGTGGGGATAAACATAATATTTTGCTTTACTTTGTTGTCTATTTGCTCTGAAAAATCAAAAGTACTGCTATAAAGCAAACGAGGACCATTCTTAGAGCAGCTCTTATATGGATCAGTGGCTGCATCAAGCTGCTGTTGGACATCTTTCCTGACTTCACATCTGTGACTTTGGGGGTCGTGGTGTTCTGGTGGTCAGTGCCACAGTCTAATAATCTTGAAGGTTGAGCTCAGATTGTATCAGAAAGGGTATCTGA